GCACTGAGAGGATCCAGGAGGATGGATCCGGGCTCCATCCAGGCCACCATACCTCCTCTCCGTCAGGAAGCCTGGAGCCAGCAGGTTTGGGTTGAGGGTGAGGTTAAAGTGCAAACTGTGGTCAGCATGCCAGAACTGGTAAAAGACTCGATCAGAGTCCGCTGGTCCCCCTGAGGCTTCCCGGCGCTGTACACGGCGAGCATGGTGAGACAGGAAGTTGGACAGGAAGTGACCTCTGGCATCCACTCTAGTAGGGTGAACCACTTCATACTGAGGCAGATCCTTCAGAGATCTCTCTGTCAAAGCCATGGTGGGAAGAGAAGATGTAAGATTAATAAATCATGGGAATGGGGAGGGCAATTAAATAATTAAGTGGCTATAAAGCTGTAAACAAAACTGTGGAAACTATAAACAAACCCATATGGTGTCAAATCTGACTTTGAATACAGCTGCAGTGTATACAGTGCCTGTCAGACGACCGCTGCTTCAAGCTGGATTCTTGTCTCCTATCCTCCTTTTACTTTTCACTCTCATCTACAGCAGGTTTATAAAGATGGTGAAATTCATTCCTCTGATAACAAAAAATACTCCATTATTTCCTGTGATCTGGAATAGCTGAATCAGCAGCATGAAAGGAAATGTGAGAAACATCTCCCTCTGTGAGCAAGGGTAAAGAAAATGAAGGGGGATTACCAGCAGTCTGCTCTTCTCAATTCTATATATACACGGCCTCATTGTGGCCGGCTGATGGGAACAATATTACTGACGACAATAGTGCACATTTGGCCCACAACATTCATTCAAACATCTCAAGTTTATTTTTCAGTGGTGAATGAGTCTTGCTCAACTTCCCATATCTTAATTTAGTCCATCACACTGGAAAATCAACATTTATGTTTAGGATGCCTTTTCATTAGACTCACTTACATAAGAAAACACTTGAGGTGTAGCTAGAAAATCAAGTGGCTGGGAATTTACATATGAAACTACATATATACACAGATGTTTTTAAAAGATCGTGACCACATTTTTTAGAACAGAAGTTACTTTAGGCCTATTTAAAATCCTGGAGCAGCACTGTATGTACTCAAAATGCATTTGAATTATGTTTTATGGTTCATTTTCCTTGAGAATGTGATACTTTTGTTGGGGAAGTATTGTATCATATCATATTATAAATTGTTCATGATAATATCGGTTTAATGCGATAAATATTTCTCATAACAGCAATATTATGACATGTTTGTATTTACTTCATGACTATGAAGCAACAAGCACAGTTGAAAGAAAAAAGTAACATTGCTGCCAGCTCCACTGCGGAGGAGTTTGCTCCACATAAAGAGGGCAACTTAGAAAGTGTGGAAGTAGTTTGGACATAAAATGTTAGATCTACAACAAACCATTGTGCTCATGTAAGCTTTGAAGAAGATAGAAGAAGAAGAAGAAGATAGAAGCAGATAGCAGCACCAGCAGGCATCACACCAAACTTCTTTCACCAAAGTGTGTACAAAGGGAGCTAGATTGTGTGTATAGCTATAGCAATTAATAATAATGTCATTTTCCATAATTCATTATATCGAAATAAAATATTTTAACTACCCTGCAATATCATGATATTATTTTAAGGCAGTATCACCAATCCCCAATTTTCACATACAAAAAAGAAAATATTATATCAACAAATGTGGCCAATCTGCACAAGAAAAAAAATCTGGGGGAAAAAACTGGAGCCAACAACAGCTGTTTCATAAATATCTCATTCATTCTGTGCAGCTCACAGTACAAATAAGACCGGTGTTGCATCATAATTTGCAAACGCACTGAATTTGCATGTAGATGATCTGTCAAGGTATTATGAGGATGTATGAGCAGCTTGATCTTATTCAAGAGAAACAGGCGGAATGCAAACAATGATTTCACACACACAAACATTTTCAAGAATACATCAGTGCAGCTGAGAAAGATCTGTGTCTGCCAACCAGTTACTTGGAATGTCTCACTGAATAAAAAGCAAGGAAAACGCCTACAGTATGTCAGCTACATCCCAAGAAAATCTAGTGTAATTTCACCTACAGATGAAGCTCCAGATAAAACTAAATAAATCAGTCATCATGAGTTTGAATTTTGCCTTCAACTAAGCATTATATTCCAGGATGAAATTTGATTTATTGATTATTATTTTAAATCATGGCCGCCATCAGTCAATCAGCACAATCCTTTTATTATGTGTATTTTGATGATCTGGATCATCATACATACAAGTATAAGAAACTGTGTAATTTCATGAGTAGCTGGGCTCAGGACCTTGTTCTCAATGTGGGGTCTGGACCAACAGGGTTAAGTGGCTTCCAGGAGGTCTGCAGAAATAGAAATACTGATCAGGTTTCTATTAATGTAGTCCAAATCAAAATTAGCTAGGCCTTATTCACTTGGTATTATGATTTCCTCTCCCCACTTTTACTTGTGTAACTATATTGAATACAATTATGTATTTCGGTATTGAGTACAAATAAAAATGCATTAAGAGGATGCCTGTGTCCAAATGCTCCTCTATTTTGGGTTCTTAGTCATTTAAAGATTAACTTTAGGATTTATGTGCCAACACTTATCACCTGACACTGTCTTTGAGGAGGTGCCTCCCCTCACCGACACATCCTTATCTATGATGCCTGACAGCATTTCCCTCAAGAGCTCACAGCTGATTTAAACAGGATTAGGCAGAATGCACCGGACTCCATTCTGCTTGTATCTGCAATCTCGGGAGAGCCCTTACTTTTAACATCCAAACCACAAACTAAAGGGATGAAAGTGCAGCGAGGTGGAGGCAGGGGAGTGTATCCAACAAGACAAGACAGGATTAATTCTCGGATTTGATGATATCCACCAGGCCTGACAACTGACACAAACAGAATGCAGACCAGTTCTATTAAAATAATAATGATAATTCATCATGTAGATTCCCAAAGACAAATTCTGTTTCCTGACCTTCACTAGTGAGGTCAGAGGATATTGTCAGCTACAAAGGAATTCTACATTTTGGCTCAAGGGTAGGGCAGATACTTGCCAACATGGGGTTGAACCTCTGATGACTCAATAGAAAGAAGGTCTCTCCAGCTACCAGACTAAGCTGCAAAACCTTGGGTTTAATTGTTATGGTCAGCACCAAACTTTGTAAACACAAGTCACAGCTGGCCTCCCCTCCACAGAGAGGACTGCTGGCCTGCTGTCTGCATTTACTGGTCTGAATTATGCGCTGTTAAACAAATGTGCACAACAAAAGCAGCCACAATAGCAGAGGACGTGGCGACATCATGAATTGAATCTATTAAATGTTTCTGTTCACTCTCGACTAACCTGGTTCATGTGATAATCCCAACGCTTTGCAGTTCTCCAGGACCGTCAGAAGTGCGACGAAGAAGTAAATGGGGGAGACTCCTTTTCCAAAGGCGTGAAGCTCTAAGTCCAAACAGGTCATTTTGTCAGGACGGTAGCCTATATTTTGGAAACATCTAATGCTTTTTTAAGACCGCGTCGACTGTCAATTCAAATGGTTTCCATCTGGGCTGGATGCACTTTTCGCTTTGTTGCGACCATGTACTTAAACTTTGACAGTTTCAACAAACTTCTCAAATTTAGGCTTGAACATCGTCTGCCTCCACGGGGCGTTTTTGTTGCATTCTTAGACTTTTTAACTAGTTTGTATGTCGGTGTTAACGTTTGCGTACGAGTAACTGTCTCCTCTGTTCTCCATCTCCTACAGCCAGCCAGTGACAGCTTAAAAAGTTATTCTGCAAACTTTCGCAGGGCCGCCCCCACAGATGGGTGGACTTAAGACAATGGGATATCTTTCAGTGGGACTGAAGGCTTAAAGGGGAATGGCACTCCAAGAAATTGGATATAGTGCTTCACTCCAATTGGCAGTTATTCCCAAAACGGAGGGTCTTTGGGTTTCCAGTGGGTCACATGAGGACCCGTTTCGATATTGTTGCATTCACTTGGAGTCAGATCAGGGCCGTCAGTCTGTGCAGTTACCTCCCCTTGCGCGTAAAGAACAAAGAGACACGTCTTTTCCCGCGAGAAGTCTAGTAGAAATCCTGCATAAAGTGGTGAAGGAAACTGAGGTTGAAAGCATAAAGTTCAGTGACCTACATGCAGTAATGTAAACACAATTTAGGATTTCTTTTAATTTCTCATTTTTAAACGCTTCTTAAAGGGGGTTTCTTACTATCTCTCAAACTAAAACAAGTGGAATAACATTGACACTGAAGAAATTCACATGGTCACTAAACTCTACATCATTGTTTAACTTAGTTTGTCTTCAACTGCCTACGCTTAGCGCCCCCTCTAGCGGAAGAATAAAGGCACTGTGGACCACTGATGCGGAGATAGTGCCTTTGCTTGCTGAATGGCTTAGCAGCTGTTGGTCTGCATCAATTCTTATATTATACTCCATGTATTATAAAGTTTAGAGCATTTTAATGGAGCACTTAGACACACACTGACCTTGGTGAGGACGCTTACATAGACGGGGGCTGTTTAACTTTATTTTACTGCAAAACAGGAATGGGTGCAAAAAGAGGGGGTTATATAGAAGCAGATGAAAATTTGTTTTGCAAGATCTGCCTTGGTCTTGACCTGTAAATACATGTTTAGTATCTTTATTTGAGCTCCGACTGTGAAGTCTTAATTTCTGTGTTTTATTTGAATTTCCGAGATGGAAATCTGACGCATTTACGCACGGTCAATGTGGTGCATTCTGTCCCAGACCTAATGAGCTTACATGCTGTGAAAAACAGATATACATTCATGGACACCAAACATAAACCAGTCCTCTTGAGTTTGGTGATCGATTCAGGATGCTTAATGCTCATTTCAATGACTTGGACGGTCTGCCTCTCTGTTACGTCTCATTCGACCAATCACGACACAGCACAGGGGTGACACCTGTATAAAAACAGATACCAATTCATTGAATATGGATAGAGAGCTGAGACACTTGTCTTGTTGGCGTCTGTGTATGTTTTCGTCTGTGCGCGCAGTAGAAAGGCCTGGTGTGAGTACAGGTTCCTGACTTTAAATATGGATGAAATATCTAATCACAGCGCAGCAATGAACCGAAGTTCACCTGGCGACGAGAAATTCAGTTTCGAAGACATCGATGTCAGCGCAGACGGCACCCTCATCTTGAGGGTACTCATCTCCGTGGTGTACTCTGTAGTTTGCGCGGTGGGTTTAGTGGGGAATCTGCTCGTCTTTTTCCTAATGAGGTTACGACAAGGTCGGAAGAAGTCCACCATCAATTTCTTCATCATCAACTTGGCGGTCACGGACTTCCAGTTCGTGCTCACTCTGCCCTTCTGGGCCGTGGACACCGCGCTGGACTTCAGCTGGCCGTTTGGAGACGCCATGTGCAAAATCATTCTCTCGGTCACAGTGATGAACATGTACGCCAGCGTGTTTTTCCTCACTGCCATGAGTGTGACCCGCTACTTGTCTGTAGCCTCGTCTCTAAAGAAAAATTCTTACAGGAGGTCACGGTGTGTGAAGTGGGTGTGCGCAGTGCTGTGGGTGGCGGCAACAGTGGCCACAGCTCCGACAACTATCTTCTCCACAGTGACTGTGGTTGCTGGAGAAAAACTCTGCCTCCTCAAGTTTCCTGAAGGGCACGACTGGCTCGCTCTTTATCACATCCAGAAAATATTGATCGCCTTCATCGTCCCTATGCTCATAGTGTCTGTTAACTACATGATGCTCTTGCGCTTCCTAAGACAGAGGAGCATGAACAGCACCAACCCTAGAAGGAGGTCCAGAGTCACCAAATCTGTAGCTATAGTGGTTTTGTCTTTCTTCTGCTGCTGGATGCCAAATCATGCCATCACCTTCTGGGGTGTCTTGGTCAAATTTAACGCAGTCAACTGGGATAAATTATATTACACGGTTCATACGTACGTGTTCCCGGTCACTGTGTGCTTGGCGCACGCAAACAGCTGCTTGAACCCGGTACTTTACTGCCTGATGAGGCCAGAGATTAGAAAGATGCTCAGAGGTTTGTTTTGGAGAGTCTCCACTCCATCCTCCAACAAGGGCTGCGCGACGCGCTCTTTTACGCATGGAGAAACCCAGAGAGTCGTGCCTCTCCAGATTATGGACAACGGAGAGTACACGCTATCCATCATAGACCGCAAAGGCTTATCAAGCTCCAATATGATCCCATACACCCAACATTAATCTGGAGAAAAATAGGAAATTTTTCCACCTTTAGCTCATTTTTCATGCGTAATGCTTTCGCTAGTATCCCCAATATGAAGATCTCTTAACTACACACATTTAAGAAGCACGTTACCATGTGTTATGTGTTATGAAATATGTATGACAAATGTAATGTGGCATTTATTTAATTTCTAAAGCTGCCATTGTTTCATTTTTTCTTTTCTCTCTCTCCTTTAAATTGCAGCTGTGCGTAGCATTTGTTTATGACCTTTGCAAGATTACTGTTCTTGGAATGCTCCATTTGCTTGACAATTAGGAGCGACAAGAAACGGAATTAACGTTTGCAACCGGGGACGTGGCTTGATCTTAGAAACAAGACTCACGGCAAAACGTAGGATTATATTATGTAAAAGGACCAATGATGGATATGGAGATTAAAAAAGAATCACTAGTTTGAACGGTTTTGTAATTGTCTGTAAATATCTGTAAATCTGTGAATGAGGAAGATACATAGAGATATTTTTTCACCAGCCAGGTAGCCTTCATTTATTAGATAGATTGACATGTATAGTTAGCCTATATTCTGTACATAAAACGGTTATCCCAAACCATCTAAGGTGTGTTCTACCACTACTGTATGTACAAAAGAGAATATGTTGTATTTTTTCTCACATGCTCTGTTTTTACACTGGAGGTTTCTCTAACATATGTGTCTGAGATGTTGATGTGACTTTTCCCCTCTAAACATTTCAGATGGTTTCATTTAAATAACTGTTTGAATCCCAAAGAGATTCAATTATCCACTATTTCACAACAAATCTAAGATTAGAGAGTCCAAAATATTAATAGAAATGTGTGCATCACAAGATCTTTTCTATTCCATTGTAACTGTTGTCTCAGATTTATTTGGCTTTGGAGGGTCCTAACCCCCAATTTGGGAACCACTGGACTAAATTACCAAACACTCCTTTTGCATTGATTCAATAGCATTCCGTATAATGTAAAATATAATGATGTATAATTCACAGAAAGTGCTTTAACTTTTTAAACTTTAAGTAGGCATACATATTGATTATAATATTCCTGTACTTTTACTTAAGATTTTAAATTAATTACTTTTACTTGTAATGGAATACGTCTTCAAGTGGTGGTGTGGATTTATATCCACCTTCATTCAAAATTCATTGTTCTGGTGGCTTAGAGGTCAAATCAAATTTTTTGACCACAGTAATTACAAGTTAACTATATAAATATACACAAATATAATTGAGGAGTTTGACTTATAGATGGAAATGATTGTAAATAAAGGAAGATTATCTTTACTTTCCATAAGAGAAGATGTGTCATTTCAACATTTGAAAAGTTTAAAGTGTGTACACGTCATATATTGTCGACACACATATTGTGTATAGCCTTCTACAAAACTAAACTTAGTCTGGCTTACTGTAGGGCATTTTGAAATTCTATTACTCTTTCAATTATACTTCACTTCATGTTGACAATCCATATCAATCAATGCACAGCAGGTTTTGTACCTGAATTTCTCCTATGATGAAATCTTTAAATCTCTACTGTATGTTTTCAGTTACAGTATTTCGGTTTGATTTTGATTCCACAATTTGCATTTATCTTGGTTTTTCACATTTTAGTTTTACATTCACACGTGTTTAATGACATTCAACACATTTCATGTCTAATAATCCACATTTTCTGTAGCTAGTTAGTAATCGTGCAGATGCTACAAGTAGCATTTATGAGTAAACAGAGCACAGAAATGACTATGTTTTGTATGCTTGGATTTAATGCTCATCTTTTAATTCTTTTTGTATGGCTGCTTTCCCTTTTCCCTTGCTGAATCTTATTTCATTTGCAGCTGCAAGAATCTAATTTTCCTCTCATGGATCAATAGGTTTTCCCTGTAAAGCTGTCAGTGGCATATGGTTAGCAAGTGTCAGTTGATTGAATCAAACCTGGATGCCTTCACAGTGGCAGGTGGCTACACATTCACCTTTGTGCTTGAAGGCAAATTGTTCTTTGTTTTGTTGGAAATATTGTTTTAAGGTTTGAATTAAGTTTGTAGCTTTTCTGTAGTTGTAGCTATTTGTAGATATACATAAAGTTAATACTGTTTACATTTATTTATGATAGGAGTCATGACTCCAATCACAAATATTATCAACCACTTTGATTGATTGCCAATTAAACAGTGGGTAAAGTCCAATCAACATTATATAAGATCAATAGGAGATAAACACTGCCCTTTACTGGTGGATGAAGAACATTACAGAGATCATTCCCAAATGCTTTCTTATTAAAACGACATTCCCCACATAATGGTCACTTTACTAGCAGTCGACCTGTTAAAATGTCTTCTGTGGCACTGGAGGAACTTTCTAAAGTTTAAGAAAATAGCCATGTGTTACAAACTGGGGACAGGGAGGTTCAAAGACCTGAGAGTATACAGGGATGATCAAACAAATTGATGCTACTTGGTTGCATTATAAGAAATGTAGGAGCCAGTGTTGGACATTAAATTATTAAGTTGTGATTTATGTCTTACTAAAATAAAAGTGGTGACATGACTCTAAGTAACAACTTAATTGGTAAAAAATACCCCAGGATAGGTGTAAATCCTAAAATGCCACAGAGTTATACTCACTAATAGTAAAATGCTGTTTTTCGTCTTTTTTTCGATAATTGCATGTCATTTTGTAACACTGTAATCCAGCAGAGATGTAATTTATTGATATGAAATTTTATATCTATCTTTCCCACAGTGTACTATGATGCCTGTAGCTCATCTAGGTAAGGATTTGACCCAAGTAATCAAGGTGCAACCAATTTTAGTAGTTACAAACTAACTAGTAGCTAGTTAGTAAACCTCTAGCCTTGACTTTACACACTAATTTAGGAGAGAACTTTGCCTGGCAGACAAAGACTGCATGTTAATTTGTGAGCTTTAGAGGAGCTAGTGGTAGTTGGGATAGCAGTCTTGTCATCTCTGGGCAAAAAAGTGAGTGAGCTTATTTTTCCGGGTTAGGACAGCCAGTTAAAAACCAGTTAAGCATAGCTAAATTCTGGTCTGGTAAATGTTTAAGATAATAATTAACCAGCGATTTTTGAAAAATCCAGAATGTTCCAAACCCCAAAGAATCATTTGCAAAAACTCTTTCTCTCCCTCTGTATTAGATGAACTGACAGAATTAAAACACATTCTTGCTTCTCTATTAAAAAGACACTCACATACATATACACAGTTTTATTTTTAGGCTATAAAAGCTCTTCACACCATTAAACAGGACAAACTGACATGTGTTGTTAACACCTGGACGGTGCTGACATACTGTAAGCAATGTGCATTTACTGGACTCATCTTTATGGCATCCGGTTATCATTTAGTAACAGTTCTTCATAAGAATTACTTGTTGAAATCCATGTTTCTGCAGTATTTTATGCACATCCTTTTGCTCTGATGCAGTGCATGTAAAAAGGCATGCAACGTCTTGTAACAGGTTCAATAACACAAAGCTGACTAGTTTCATTTGGCTTAAGTTACAAAAAATGCCATAAACCATGTGGAAAATACTGAAAACCATTATAATATTTGAAAGGGTATAACAAGGTACTTGACTATTTACAAAATTCAAGTTAATTTTGTACAAAGTAAAAGTGCATCAAATGTCGTTCATCCTTCATGTTTTCCAGGATGAAAATATTAAAAGAAAAGGAATGAACTCTTAAGAGAGGATGCAGGTTTAGAAGATTCTTTGCTGTAGAAAAAGATCAAGAAAAGTCTGTGTGAGTTAAACATCACGAATCTTCTTTGTACTCTGGCAACTTTAGTTCAGTTTTGTTTCTTCATAAATTATTATGCAAGTGAGCTGAACCTGCTGCAGATAAAATATTTTAAACATCAAATTCAATATACAGTATAGTAACTTTACATTTGGGTGTTAAGTCACCCTTGAGGTTTTTCATGTATTTCAAAATTTACCACAAGAGTTAAATAAATATACATCAGGAAGAGACAAAAGAGTGATTGGCTAACACTTGCCTCGGGGGCAAATTGTGGCCTGAAATTCTTGGAACAGATCAATCAAAGCTTGCTCTATTCTTCTTTTCAAACGGCCAGAAAAAGCACCAGAGCTCCAGCCTGAAGCGAAGAAAATGTGAGCTCAAAGATCTGAGAAAGGACGACATAGAGGGCAGTGGAATACATTGACAAAGAAGGCCCTAATGTCGCAACAGTGCAGGAATGCTAAGTGAGTGTGACAGTGCTGACTCTTGGGGGTCAGGGGTCGTGGCTTGGGACAAATCCAGTGCACTGAACAAGCCTTGCTTCAGCTATCATGCAGAGCTGTCTGTACGGTGCCACTGTGGCGATGGGAAGCAGGGGGAGGCGGGTTGGTCCCTGAGTGTCGGGTCCCCTGTGGAAAAGGAGTCTGCTGGGGGCCCTCAGCCTGCGTTACCGTTCTTCCGCCATTTTCCCATTTGCCTCCTGCTCGTCCTCGTCTCTCCGCTTCTGCCTCCGGAAGAAGCCCAGCTTGGAGGGAGAACAGTGAAACAAAGAGAGAAAGCCTAACAATATAAGTTTATTCTTGACCTTGTGACCAGTATGTGTGAAAAAATAATAACTTGAGGTCCACTCATCCACTTAGTAGCTTAGTAGCTGACCATTGTTTCACATTTAGTTCATGTGATGAAGATTGTGAGACATGGTCAAAAGCTCCCAAAAAATGCAAAGCAAGGAGACCTTGAGTTGAGATTTCTTTGCCACGTATATTATGGTGTGTTTTCAGTGCACTTACAGCTCCATTTGGTTTGCATTTAGCTGCTGTCCACCCAGAGTATAAAATGTAAATGTCCATGTAATTTTTATTGATTCATTGTCTCAACTGCTCTTTTTACTTACTTTACTTACTAAGACCCTACACGGCCACACAGGTATTTCCAGTTACTCTTATTAACGGATAAGACCTCAAAATTGTGTGGAGTTTGTGCTGGAGGTTAACCAACTCCCTGTACTAATACCAGTGTTAAAGGTGTAATTTGTAAAGCCAAAAAGGTGCAACAAGCTAACAGGAGAGTGAGAGAGGTGTTAATCAAACACTGTCTGCATGCAGTCTTAAGAGCTGTAATCAGGAAAAGTAAGTAAAATCACTTTTTCTTTCACGTTTATTTGTATTGTGTAAAGCATGTTTTCCCCCTTTTTATTGCATATTGAACATCAGCAGAAAACCAAACAATGCAGAATCTTATAGACAAGACAAGCATCTCTAAATTTGATAAGATTGATCCAGCTCGGTAAATTATGATTTCTTAGGCAGCCTAATGGTGATGGGTGTTT